CCAAAGAAAGCTTCCTTGCTGTCCCTAAAAATTACTGTTAGCATTTAAGAGAAAAACAATATATAGGTGTATACGAATACTACATTGGACCCTGCCACAGTGCCCAGAGCATGGTACACAGCCGGTAAACATCGGCTGAATTGGGAGATTGGGCATACAACAGTTTTTCTAGGAATAATTTTTACAGGAAAAGTCAAGAGTGAACCTCTTTAGAAAAAGTATCCTCTGAAATAGTTGTTCTCAACTGAAGATGATTTTGGCCCCCAAGGACCAGCTGGCTATGTCTGGAGATGTTGTTGTTGTTTTGAGACAGGGTCTCATTATGTAGTTGAGACTGACCTGGAACTCACTGTATAGCTCAGGCTGGTCTCGAATTCACAGCGATCCTCCTGCCTCAGCCTCCCGAGTGCTGGGATTACAGGCGTGCACCCAGCAATATATATATATTCACTTTTTTTTATTGTGGTACTGGGGATCGAACTCAGGACCTTGCACTCACAAGGCAGGTGGCAGCACCTTGAGCTAAAGCTCTGGCCCCTGTCTGGAGATATTTTTATTGTCACCAGCAGGAAAGTACTTCTGTCATCTAGTGTATAGGGTACAGACCAGGGATACTGCTAAGAATCTTATAGTGCACACAACAGCTCTATGCAACAAGGAGTCATCTGGTGCCAAATGTCACTACTGGGTTTTTTTTTTAGGGGGGTGTTGTTTTGAGATAGTAGCTGACTTTGAATTCACTACGTAGCCCAGGCTGGCCTCAAACTCATGGCAATCTTCCTGCCTCAGCCACCTGAGTGCTAAAGTTACAGGCGTGTGTCACCATGCCTGGCCTTTAGTGCTGTTATTGAGAAACTGTGTTCTAAATCACACACACACACACACACACACACACACACACACACACATTATAGGCTCCCTACCCTGTATTGTTTTGTTTGAGTTTGTTGTTTCATTTTGCTTTTGGTGCTAAGGATTGATCTCAGAGTCTTTACACTAAACTACATTCCTGGCCCTCTTCATTTTTTATTTTGAGGAAGGGTCTTGCTAAGTCACTAGATAGCCCCGGCTGGGTTCAAACTCAAGATTCTCTTGCCTGAGCCTCCCAGAATGCTAGAATTACAACCGTATGCCACCATGCCCAGCTTCTACTTCGTTGATGCATTATTTTCATTAAATATTAAACCTGGCTTCTAATAAAATAAACAGAGCACCACTCACTATCACTAACACAGCTCTATGACCTAATGCCAATATGGGTCATGAATACAGGTAGCTTTTTACATGGTTATCATGATGATGTCTCTATTTCATTTTTTTACATTATTTTTACACACGTTCCTATTTCTTTTGTTTTTGTTTTTTGAGACAGGGTCTCACTATGTAGTTGAGACTGACCTGGAACTCACTATGTAGCCCAGGCTGGTCTCGAACTCACAGCAATCTTCCTGCCTCAGCCTCCCAAGTGCTGGGATTACAGGCGAGCACCACCATACCTGGCTCAGTTTTATCTAATTTTTTTTAAAAAGTAAAACAAAGTACAGCCAAAATTCCACTGAGGCCCTTGTTTATATTCTCAGGGATTTTTTTCCTCCATAAAACCCCACGTCCTCAGAGTCCCCACTTTATCGGGTACCTGTCTTCCAGCCTCTATGTAACTACTCAGTAATGTAATGACTGGGTTCGAGTGTCTATTCTCCTCACAGGATTCTGTGCACCTCCCAGGCAAGTCAAATTGTTAATCTCTGAGCCAAGGATAAATATTTGTGGGATGCATTAATGACGGGCTTCCTGGTTACCTAACTGTGGTCAGCCTTACCAGGGCTAACATGAGTTGTCTCCAGTAGCTCCCTACATCATCTCCTCGAAGTGCCTTGGGTATGCTCCGTCTTCAGGCATGAGTGAAAGAAGCCAAAGGCTGAAACCACACTTCATGCTTCTATTTATCGTAAGCAGTGCTGAGCTCCCACACCTTGAGTCTCAGCTACCTGGGAGGCTGGGAGGGGAGAATTTGAGCCCAGACAAACAAGTTTAAATACATGGCTTCTCCTATATGAGAAACACAAAGTATAAATAAAAAGCAAAATAAAGGATAGATAATAGGAAGTAGAGGGCCTGCACCACAGTGCTCAGTGGCACCACACCTGCCTCAAAAGCACAAGGTCCTGCCAGGCGTGGTGGCGCACAACTGTAATCCCAGCACTCGGGAGGCTGAGGCAGGAGGATCGCTGTGAATCGAGACCAGCCTGGGCTACACAGTGAGTTTCAGGTCAATCTCAACTACATAGTGAGACCCTGTCTCAGAAAAAAACCAAAAAAAAAGGCACAAGGTCCTAAGTTCGATGCCCAGTTCCAGAAAAAATTAAAAAAGAAAAATAAATAATTTTAAAAAGCAGGAAGTAGGGAGATCTTTCTCAATAGTGCTTTTTCAGATAGGAAGGGGAACAAGAGCTGGAGCGGACAGGGAGGGACAGAGGGGAAGGGGACAAAAAAGAATTAAGATGTGTTACACATATTTGCCAACTCCCTGTGATAAATGTAAACATTATGTATCACAAACATGTACTAATAAAAAAATTTTAAATAAAAAAATTCAAGAGGCTGGGGATTTAGCTCAGTGGTTCTGCCACCTGCCTTGCAAGTGCAAGGTTACGAGTTCAGTCCCCAGTACCAAAAAACAAAAATGAAACAAACAAACAAACAAACAAAAAAACAAATTCAAGACCAACCTGGGCAACATAGGGAGACCTTATTTCAATAATAAGAATAGCAATAGCTGGGCGTAGTGGCACACACCTGCAGTCCCAGCACTTGGGAGGCTGAGGCAGGAGGATCGTCACAAGTTCAAGGTCAGCCTAGGCTACATAGTAAGTTCAAGGCCAGCTTGAACTACATAGTGAGACCCTCTCTGAAAAAAAAACAAAAATACTGTTTTAAAGCTAATAATAATTATTATAATAACAAAATTTGTATTATGAATTGGGAAAAGTGCTACATTAACCTCCAGGAAGATAAGATTTTCATGTCCAAAGAGTAGAAAAGCATAAATAACAGGCTCAGAAAACAATCGATACCTATCAGGGGACCCTGACCATCATCAAATATGGGCAAGGATTTATCTCAGTGATGCCTAACCTGCCTCACAAGTGCAAGGTCCTAAATTCAATCCCCAGTACAAAAAAAAAAAAAAAAGTATATATATATGGCTGAGCTCGCAGCCAAGGCCTGTAGCAGGCTGGAAGATGATTTGGAGAGCATCCCTGCAGCGTGGGATGTCTTCTTTGTCCCTTTTCCTCTACCATCTGAGCACATCATTTTGAATTATATTAAGGCCTTTGCTTAAGTTTTTACTTCCCAGTTTTCCCAAACAGATCAGTAGCATGTAAAATATATTTGAATGGGCAGATTGTGGTAAGTAGATAGAGACAGACAGGTCCTTTAAGTCTGCTGTTTAGTGAGTGGTTGGGAGGTAAAAAGGGTAAGTTGGGGAATAATGCCAATTCTAATTATCAGGTGAAATTGAATATATAAATCACTCAAAGCTATTCAAAAACTCTTCAAGGGTATTACATGGGGACCTGGGATAAACATGTGAAGATGAACATATTAACCACCGTTAGTCCCACAGTCCCTTGGCAGGAAGTTGTGCTTGTCCGGTTGTTCCTAAACAGAGCTCATGATTCGGAATCTCGCTGTTAATTGTTCTCTTGCTAATCTATGAACGTCATGATCTTCTGCATTGAGTGGAAGGAAAATGCCAGCTGCAGGGCCACACAGAAAGCGCACAGGTGAGGTAAGGCCCTCGGTCACAGCGTTCCTGCTCCCCGGCAGGGAGAAGTGTCCAGGCTCAATTAAGGATGCCCACCTTTCTCAGTAAAACCCCAGCATGACCTTCACTTTGAGCTCTGAAAAGCAGCACTACCTGGGGCCAAATCCTAGGGGTTCTGTTGTCATAGGTCCGGGGTGCGGCCTTTAACACCCCCTGTGAGATGAGATCCGCTGAGCTCAAAGGTTTCAATATACACTTTGCCCAGCTTAGCACAAGTTACTTTGGACCATCAGTTGCTTACTGTCTTCTCAAAGTAGCTCTCGGGTAATCTTGTTGCAGTGCTGTGGATCGAACCCAGCACCTCACATATGCTAGGCAAGTGTTAGCCCACCGAGTTCCGTCTCTCACCCCAGTTCTCAGACAACCACTTTTCTAGTAACTGCTCTGAGCAGAAGAAGGGTACCTCACCCTCTCCCAGGAAGAACACAAAGCCCCTACATCCTACATTCCAGAAATATGTAACTATGTCATTTATGTTTTGAATGAGACTTGGTAAGGGCGGGGGATTTAGCTCAGTGGTTCCGCCGGCTGCCTTGCAAGGGCAAGGACCCGAGTTTGATCCCCAGTACCAAAAAAAAAAAGGGAAACTTGGTAAGCTGAGTTCTGTACATTCACTGCTCAATTCACTGTACATTTCCACTTAATTACTTAGTTCTTTGTGAAAGGTCTCATTTGTTTGGTCCTGAAAAGATTTTCTAAATGTCTAAGCTTCAGGTCAGGTGAGAGATTCTAAATAGAATATACCATGCCAGGTCTAGCACATAAAGCTTATCTACTGTCACCCTCCTCCACAGTGGGTGCTAACTCAATGGAAACCTAATGGCTAAACGGGAGTCCTGCTTCTTTTTAAAAGAGCCTTAGGTGCACTGGGTGCAGTGGGAGACACTGTAATCCCAGCACTCGGGAAGCTGAGGCAGAAGGATTGCAAAATCAAGGCCAGTCTATCTCCAACAAACAAGCAGGCCCCAATTCCTGTTTACAAGAATCTTCATTTCCCTGGACCCGCCTCAGTATGGGCATCTTTGCCATGGAATTTGCTTACCATCAGCATGAACAGCACTGGTGAGCACAAACCAGAGGTAAGCCAACAACAGGGCCTTGCTTTTCTCTCTCTCTCTCTCTCTTTCTTTCTATGATTCTTCAGGAACTGCACTGAAAACCAAGCACTTACATCTTCTAGGAGGCAAACAGCAGCAGGATTCCCATGGAATGCTCTTGCTGTGAACGCATCAGCTATGAAAATCGGAAGCTTCATCGTCCTCACAGCTGCTTTTCCGTAGGCTCAGGCCTGCTGGTGCCCGCTTCACTCCTTGGTACTGTGAAAAATCAAGAAGTTAATGTTTTACTCAAAGTGTAGGAGGAGCCAGTAGTTCCCAGATACAAAGTTGAGCAACTCACCTATCACACCTCTATTTCAAGGTATGTGATCCCCTAGGGTTTAGCCTCTATGCTAAATTTGTTCTAAATAGAATATTTTTTTTTCAAATTATTTGTATTGGATCTTTTTTTTTTTGAGACAGGGTCTCACTGTGTAGTTGAGACTGACCTGGAACTCACTATGTAGCCCAGGCTGGTCTCGAACTCACAGTGATCCTCCTGCCTCAGCTTCCTGGGTGCTGGGATTACAGGCATGTGCCACCATGCCCAGCTTGTATTGGATTTTGATACCATACACAGAACTCAGAGACATAATCATTTTATTTCTTAGAGTAAACAAAACTATCTTAGGCCATGCTTGTGATGAAATGCATGAAAAGCCCAAGAGACACATACATTGCTTACAGTCTCCCAGTGAAGATCATTATTTATTTTTGTTTTGTTTTGTTTGAGTTTGGTTGTGGTTTCGGTTTTTTGAGACAGGGTCTCACCTTGTAGCCCAGCCTGGCCTCTAACTCGTGGCAATCCTCTTGCCTCAGCCTCCTAAGTGCTGAGATTACAGGCATGTGCCAACACCCTTGGTAGGCTTACATTGTAAAAATCAGAATGTTTACCTTCTTAACAGTATTGGGCCTGGGATCTAGTTCAGTTGTGCTGCCACCTGCTTCTCAAGTGCAAGGTAACAAAACAAAAAACAAAAAACAAACAAACAAAAAAGTGAGGAAACAGTACTATATAGCATGAGTATTTTCCAAGGATGTCAAATCTTCCAACTCTGCTCAGTGGCAGAGTGCTTGTCTCATGTTTTAGGTCAAGTTCAATGCCTAACATTGCAAAACAAGCAAAGAAACAAAAAAATCATTTTAATAGATTTCCAATAGGCTTATGGATATGATGTAAGCTGTTTTAACATTTCCCTTTCAGTGAATATTTAAGTTGTTCCTAATTTTTCACTTAAATATTATTGGTAAACAAGTTGGTTGAATGTAATCCTTGGTCTTCATTTCTGATTCTTTAGTTATAATAGATTAATAGATTCCTGAAGTCAAAATATATAGATATTTTTAACTCACACAGACATACCAGGGCTGAGGGCAGAGCTCAGTACTAGAACATTTTGTTTTGCTTAGATTTTTGAGACACTATGTAGCCCAGGCAGGCCTTGAACTTGTGGAGATTCTCTTGCCTCAGCCTCCCAAGTGCTGGGATTACAGGGATGCACCACCATGCCCAGGTAGTGACAGAACATTTGGCTAGCATGTGATAGGCAAAAAAAATAATATCTTAGGATTCATTTGCATTTCTTGGCTTTTAAAAATTTCATTTATTTATTTTGGGACAGGATCTCACTATAGTCAAGCTGGCCTTGAACTCACTATGTAGCCCAGGCTGGCCTCAAACTCAGAGATCCTTCTGCCTCAGCCTTCCAAGTGCTGGGATTACAGGTGTGTCCCACCATACCTCGCTTGGCTTCTTCCAGTCAGTAAACAACATAAAATCACAACCTCCTATTTTTCTTTACCACTACATTCTTAGTGCCTAGAATGCTGGCACGTAACAAATATTTATTAAATTTATTTATTTATTTTGGTTTTTTGAGACAGGGTCTCACTATGTAGTTGAGACTGACCTGGAACTCACTGTGTAGCCCATACTAACAGCAATCCTCCTGCCTCAGCCTCCCGAATGCTGGGATTACAGGCATGAGCCACCAGCCCGGCTGGATTTATTATTTAAGTAAATAATATATTGAGCATATATGAAAGCTATATTTCCAAGCTGAGCATGGTGGCACGTGCCTATAATCTCAGTACTCAGCAGACTGAGGCAGAAGGATCACCGCAAGCCCGAGGCCAGCCAGGGGTACATAGAGAAACTCTACTTCAAAACAAAAACAAAGAAAAAACTTAATTTTTGTACACATGCTGACAAGTGTGAGGGTTTCTCATTGTGGTACAATCTGCCAGCCGACAGTTTCATCTCAGTAGCACCACTATTGCTGACAATCCATAATACACTACAGTTTGTTATACAGTTATTTAGAAATGTTATGATAGATTGCTTTTATTAGATTAGATGATTTGAGCTACGAAAAGAAAGAAATTAAAGTTCTGAAGCCAAGTGTGGTGGTGCGCACTTATAATCCCAGCATTTAGGAGGCTGAGGCAGCATATAGTTCAAGGCCAGCCTGGATGACATAGTAAGACCTTGTCTCAAAAAAAGAAATTAAAAAATAAATTAATATTAATTAAATGAAATTCAAGAAAAAAAATTAAAGTTCTCATAATGAAGCATGGTTTTCAAACACTGAATAGAAATGACATTATTATGGCACAAGGGCATGTGTTTAGCCTGATTGGTCCCAGCCAGCAGCTAGCTACATGTTCACTGGGTGAGGAAACCTCTATGGCAAAGACTGTTGAAATGTTTCTACAGTGGTTATGAGTTATAGGAGCAAGGCTTGAAAGTAATATGTTTAAGCCAGGTGTGGTGGTGCACAGCTGAAATCCCAGCACTCTGAAGCAGAAAGATTCCAAGTTCAACTCTAGCCCAGAGAACTTACTGCCTTAGAAAGACCCCGTGTCAAAATAAAAGATAAATAAAGGGGTGGGGATGGTAGTAGCTCAGTGCAAAGGCCCTCCATTCAATCTTCAGTACTGAAAAAAAAGTCTGCACAAATATTCTTCTGAAATTGTGTGCATATGTGTGTGTGTGTGCACTCAAGTGGGCACCAAACCAGTGAACCCAGGGCCTCTCGTGTGCTAACGTGTGTTACCACAAAGCTATACCCCAGCTCCCAAATTCCTGAATTTTTTTCTAAGGTAGGCTCTAACTGGGGATTTAGCTCAGTGGTACTGCTGCCTGCTTCGCAAGCACAAGGTCACGAGTTCAATCCCCAGTACCAAAAAAAAAAAAAAAAAAA